TCTTTATTAAATTATTTAAAATTAATAAAATAATAAACTATTTATATTAATTAGACCTTTCTCTATTTTATAGAATTTAGCTAATATTTTATATAAATAGACTTTATAAGAATTCTATTAATCTATTATCTGGCTAAATTAATAAAAAGTCTAATTTTATTAAAGTTAATAGTAAACTTGAATAGGAAATCGAAAAGATTCTTTCTTCTAAAATACTTTATAGTAAGCTTTATTATAAAATTAAATAGAAGAAACAAAATATAAATAATAAATAATACTTTATATTAAATTTTAAAATTTTAATATTTAAATTTTATAAATTCTATAAATAGAACTCTAATAAAATAAAACCTTCTATCTAATTAAATAAATAAATTCGATATATTAAAGAGAATAAATTTAATAAAAACTATTTAAATAATAATAAACCTCGATAATAAGGCTTTTATAACTAGAAAAAAAAAGAAAAACCTAAATATTTCTTTGGTTTTATTTAAATTCTAGTATATTTCTTTTCTTTTATTATATTAGTATTTATTTTCTTTTTTAAAAATCTGAATAAAATATTTTCTTTTATTATATTATATTATATTTTGCTATTTAGATAAATTACCTAAAAAAAAAAAGATCTTAAAATTAAGCTAAAAGTAAATACTTATTTATATTAATTTAAAATATTATTAAAAATCGAGGAAAATCTTTCTAATTATTTTAATTTTTATAACTTTAATTATTTATATTACTATTAATAAAAATAAAACAGATAAGAATTCTAATAATATATTATTTATAGCCGGACTAAATAAGGCTATTTACTAGATTCTAGATAATTTAAATAATAATAATAATATTTCAAGTTTAGTAATTATAATTATTATTAATATAATTATTAGCCAAATTGCTTTTATACAGTGTGTCAAAAAAGTAATCAAGGTATTCCGAATATTCATGAATATTCATGATTAGCTTGAATAGAATATAATTACTGCAATGCTTAAATAATTTGATTAGATTAGAATATATAATCATGAATACTCATAAATACTTTGATTACTCTACACGTGACTATAGCATGTGATACGCTAGCCTGATTAAGTAGAGGCCCCGCTCTAGTGTCGCCTTAGCGCCACCTCGCTGTCTAATTAGTAGGCGAAAGGCTTGCAAAGACGATTCTAGATCGGGAGCCATACCTAATTAGGCTAGTATATCACGTGCGACAGTCACGTGTACAGTAATCAAAGTATTCATGAATATTCATGATTACCTTAATTAGAATCTGATTAGAATATAATTAGTGGGTATTTTTGATGAATAGATTAGATTACTAGCCAGTATTCTATTCTATTCTATTCATTTGACACACTGCTTTTATAAATAAAAATAGTAATTCTCTTATTTAAAAATAAATTAATATATAAAATATAATTTGTATTATTCTTAAAAATATACCTGAAATTACTATAAAAAATATCTTAGAAAAGTATTCTAAGAATAATAAAATAGTGGATTTAATTATTAATAATAATAAATCTAATAATTTAATAGACAAAATAAATAATATTAATAAGAAATACTAATATATTAATTTTATTAAGCTAGATACTAAAAAGATTAATAGAAGTAAAGCTAATATATTTAGGAAATATAAGATATTAAATAGTAATAAGAATTCTAATAATAAAAAGATTAATAATAGAAAGAATTCTAGTAATAAAAAAAACTTCAATTATAATAAAAGTAGCTAAACTAGTATTAAGATACCTATTATAATTAAGAAACATATAATACCAAGTAGTAATTATTATATAAAGTACTAATCTGAGACTAAAAACTAGTAAATAATCCTAAAGGCCAAAATAAAGAATTAATATTCTATAGATATTAATAAATTAATATATAATATTATTCGAAAAGTTAAAAAGCCTTTTAGAGATTTCTATAAAACAAGAATTATAAAGTTTAAAGCCCGGAAATATAATAATAAAATAGCTAAAGTATCTAGCTTTAATATATAAGTTATTAAAATAAATAGCTAATTTAAATATATATATATTAAGCTTAAAAAGATCTAAAAGTTAATTAAATAACTTAAAAGCGGTTTAATTAAATTAGATATTACTATTTCAAATAAGAAAAAGAATAAATAAGCTATTATATTAAAGCCTGCTTTAATAAATAAACTTAATCTATTATTTCTATATTATATTATTAATATAAATATAAGTATAATACAAGTAATAAATAATAAAAACTAGCCGAAATATACTAGAAACTAAATTATTTTAGTAAAATTAAAACTATATTTTAATTATAAATAAGCTAATAAAATTAGATAAAATAGAATTAATAATAATTATTTCCTTTCTTTTTTCTTTTCTATATTATAGCTAAATAATTCCTTAAATAAGGGTATTTAGATTTCTTTTTAAAGAAAAAATAATATAATAGCTAATATAAGAATATAATTTACTAAGAATAAGATATTAGAAACAGATATAAAATAAAGCTAAGCCGGAATTATTTAAATAAAATAATATTAAAAATTAAAAATTAAGGTATTTTCTTTATTTTATTTTATAGCTTAGTATTTTCTAATATATAAGATTCTTTAAACTTTAAGCCTTTAATTATTATATTAATTCCACTATTATATAATAATTTACTAGGCTATATTAAATATATTTACTTATTATATATAGTTATATTTATTACTTTTCTTAATTTAGTATTCTGTATTATAACTTGCTTTCTTAACTTAAAGCTATATTTTATAATATTTAAGAAATTTATAAGTTTTTACTTTTATATAATAATTATATATAATAAACTAATATAATAATAAATTTATAAAAAATATTATTATTATATAATTTATAAAAATAAAAATAAAAAACTTATTTAAAAATTTAAAAAGAAAATTTAATAAATATTTATAAAATTTATTTTTAAGTTATAAGATTTAAAATATTATAATAGCTAGTAATAGTCGGACTTGATATCGCACTAAAGGGGCCCTTCTCTTTAGTCAGGGAAAGCAAGTTGTCCCGGGAAAGCAAGATGTCCCGCACTAAATAAAATCCTTAATAACTTGAAACCTTAACCTTTTTAAATAATTCTAAGTAATAAAATTAAAAATATAAGCCTTATAAACTAGATACGATTCCCTAAATCTTAAAAAAAGATGTGGGTAGAAAGTTATTAAGGTTTTAATAATAAAATTACGAGAAATATAAAAATTATAAGAATTATTTATTTGCAATCATTTTGCAAATATTAGATCTACGACTTTTGCTTAATTATAAATTTTTATTCTTTTACTTAAAACATTAGGCCTTAATTATGTAATAGGTAATTATAAGATTGCGAATAAAATATATTAATTAGATTTTCTATAGCTAGTTCCTAGTATTATTTTTTAGAAGGCAAAAAAGGCTAGTACGGGACATCTTGCTTTCCCGGGACAACTTGCTTTCCCCGACTAAAGGGAAGGGCCCCTTTAGTGCAACATCAAGTCCGACTATTATTATATAAGTATTATAGATTAGTTTTAGCTAAGATTTCAAGCTATAGTTTAAATCAAGCTTGCTTTAAATCAAGTTCGGTATTTTAATAGTCTTGGCTATATCTATTTATTTATTACTATATTTTATTTCTTTTTTTCTTTTCTTAGCTTTAGATTTTATAGAATATTAGAATTATAGATCTTTATATATTATTCTATTACTTTATTCCTGCTATTACAAGTATTATTTTTATATTTAAAGCTTTTTTTTTTTAACTTTTATATTTGCTTTTACTTTTTATATTTGCTTTTACTTTTTATATTTGCTTTTACTTTTTATATTTGCTTTTACTTTTTATATTTGCTTTTACTTTTATATTTGCTTTTACTTTTATATTTGCTTTTATAAAATAGCCTTTAATAATTTCAATTAAATTAAGTTAAGTTAAGATTGAGCTAATTAAATTATAATTAATTTTACTGAATTAGTTTTAATTAAAAGCCTGATCTAGACTTGTTAAAAGAACCTCCTTACGGGAGGTTTCGGGGGGTGGGGTTCCTTTCCTCCTTCAGGCCTTTCCTCAAGGATAAACACTCTGCTCTTTAAACTAAGCCCTCTTTTAAAAGGATACTTTCTCTTGCGCAGCTTTGTTACCCGGGGGGAACCCCCAAGATCACAATATAATCTCTTAAAGTGGGAAAATCTGGCTTTTATTCTTCGCATTTGCACCTGCTCATGCGGCCCCTTGTTTGTTTTTGATACACTGGTCCAGGAGCAAGCTCCAAGTTCTGTTGAGAAGAGTGTTTGACACGGGGGATATAATGAGTGCATGTAGAACCTCATTCTGGCACTGTCAGGTGCATCATTAAGTTGGCAAGGGTTTCTAGGAATAACGTGGTTGGAGCTAGCTCCCACTCGATAGATGTCATAGAGTAACCTTACCCTCGGACTTTTGACAGCCTCATGGAAAGAACAAACTTCATTTGACTTCTTTTCATTGGTTGCTGGAGTCTCTATCCACACGCCTTCCATGCGCACTCCATCAACCCACCGATTCATCATTCGCCTCGCATTTCAGAGTCGGAGCTTTCAAGCTACCACACTCCTCTCAAACCAAGTTGCCATATCACCTTCATCTTATGAGATCAGGAGCTTTCAAGCTACCATGCCTCATCTTCGTGTCGCAAAAATCATTGAGAAAGAACTATCAGAAAGAACGCCTCTGTGATGTGCCGGGGTTTGGTGGTGAACAAAAAAGAAATTACATGACGGTGAATCTTTCGCTAATCGTTGGTCACATCCGAAAACTGGAAGGCGCCTTTTCGCAGGGGGATAGTCGTGCTAGAGGAAGTTCGGGGGAGGGGCTCGTGTGGAGAGATTGCGGGGCGGTATTGAGTGTTCGGCAATTTGATTAGAATGCTGTATGTCGTGTCGTGGGTGGGGAAGGGAAGTGCTTGCCGAAGCAAGTCAGAGGAGAAGCAAACTTGTAGATCAAGTTTACATATCCATCGAATCGCCGTTGGCACTGGCGAAGTTGAATCCTGCGCCACCTTGTGGGCCATTGGCGCCGAAACCAAAGGTACCTTGTCCGCTCTCTACTTGTGGTGCGATCTCATCACCCGCGTCGTCTTCGTCGGAGAAGTACTTCTCAATCATGTTGTATGCCTTCATGTAGATTTCTTCATTGGCATTGGTCTGGCAGTCATGGATTTTCTCCATGCCGTGACATTCCTCAATGAACAAGGCATATCTGTTGATGCTCTCTTGTCCCTCTCCAGCGGCATCCTTGTCCATCTCACCAACCTTCAGAATGTTCTCAAGACCGTCAAGGGCGACTTGGATAATCTTGTTATCAGGGCAAGCAAGGAGATCACACAATGGCTTGATGCAGCCCTGGTTGACCAGGTATCTGATTTGCTCGGGCTTCTGGAGTCCACCAGAGGTAGCGTTTGAGATGGCCCAGCATGCTTCCTTGCGAGTCTTCAAGTCGCCATTGGACAGGAGGTGGATAAGCGGCGGAATAATGTTTGCGTCGATAACAGCTTGGATTTGGGTGGAGTTTCCAGCAGTGATGTTGGAGATGGTCCAGCAAGCCTCCTTGCGAATTCCATCCTTTCCGGAGCTCAAGAGAGACAAGAGAGCTGGGAGTGCACCACAGTTGATGATCACCTGGGTCTGGATATCATCACCAGTAACAATGTTGCCCACGGACCGAAGAGCAGGAGTCTGAACAGATGTTGAAGCGTGCATGAGCAGCTCGACGAGACGACGAGGAATGCCAGCTTCAATGACAGCCTGGATCTTGTCGTTGGCACCGTCAGACAAATATGAAATAGCCCAGCAAGCATCTATCAAAACTTCATCGTCCAAGGAGTAGACAAGCTTAGCCAAGACTGGGAGAGCGGGCAAAATCTGCTGGAAATGTAAGCTTGTCATCACGAAAGGTGGGGTAGCCGGGGCTCTTACGGTGTTCCAATCGGGCTGGGGAGTCTTGCCACGGCAGAAATTGCTGAGGGTCCAGGTTGCATTGCGGAGCATGCTCAACTTTCGGCTGTCACCCAACAGGTTCAGGAGTGGCTTCAGAGCACCACAACTCAAAACGTAATCCCGGCATGATGGGCTATCACCAGCAATGTTTCCCAGGGCCCAAACAGCCTGCTCTCTAACATCGGGCTCGTGACTACCAAGCAGCTCAACGAATATAGGAACGGCTCCAGCCTCAATAACGACCTGTGTTTGTTGCGCAGATCCAGAAGCAATGTTGGTAAGAGCCCAGGCAGCTTCAAATTGTACCAACGTGTGGGGCGAGTGGAGGAATTCGACAAATCGACCAACAACTCCGGTCTTGATAACCTCTTCGATGGGTGGATTTCGCTCTTTCGACAGGAGTTTTCGGAATTTTGTAGTGGCTTGAATTTGGAGATCGATCTGATCAGAGAAGACGCCCGCAACCATTTGAGGGAGATCTTCGTTCAGCTAAACAGCAAATTGATCGTCAGCATATTGTTTCCAAAGAACAGAAGTCCCGTGGGCAAAGAAATGCTGTTCCTTGGGGCTCGTTGACGAGTGGAACCATCACGCCAGCCGTTCCGCAGCCCGCACAAGCGAAATAACATTTCGTCAGGCAGTTACCCCACCAGGCAAGTAAACAAACGGCAGCTGTGAGGCGGTGATCTTTCGCGATTCGGACAACAGGCAGTAGCGCATCGCGTCCCGCAAAAGGTGATAAGGTATGCGATCAACTTACCTGACTCTCTGTTGGGGCGGTATCATCGTCACTGTCTGGCTCTGCGCCGAGAGACGCCCCCGGACGAGATCCATCTCCGCCGGTGATACCTCGTCGCTTTGCTAGGTTTTCTTCACGCTTGGCCTTGCGGATCTCGACTTGTTGCTCTTCACGACGGCGTCTCAGCTCTTCAGGCTTGAAGGTGTTCTTCGCCTTGAATTGAGTCCGACGATGCTCAGGGATGTAGCGTTCGGCCATGATTGCGGTATGCGATACGCGGTGTGTGGTGTGTGGTGTGTAGAGTAGTGTCGCAGGAATATCGAAGACGGTTGGTCAACTCCTGGCGGTGGTGTTGTAGAGTTGAGGTCGGCAGGAGGAGAATACGGAGTGGGATTGATCTTTGAAGAAGCTCGGAAGAGGTTCTTTCTTTCCATTCGACGGGAGCAACACGTGATTCTAGCGAGCTGACTAAGGCGGGAACCCACCAAATTAGCACGTCGCGTCTCCCCGTCAATCAAGCGCGTTCAATGCAAAATATTTGAGACCAAGTTACGTTCCCCTTTTCTTGCCACGACCATCATGCTTGGAGATGAGTGAATGAGCGATATTCGGGCTAGAACCCGTATTTAAATCCTCTCCTTTATTCCACACAGCGTTGCAGGCTTCCTCTCTGTCTGGGCCGACCAAAGTAAACAAAAAGCTTCATCCACTATACGAAACAACGTGGCAACGATGACAAGTCCTCCAACTTCCTCCCCTGGCGAGATCCCATTACCGGATGGGTTTTTGACTCTCGATCAAATCCGAAATATCCCCAACAGCTGTCTCCGGGAGAAGAAGTCATTCGTTAACGTTATAGGATTCGTGAAGGATTTTCAACCCCCGTACAAGACCGGGGGTACAGGTATGTAGCCCTTGCAGAGGTTTGGTTATCAGACTTACAAATTTGAACTTCAAGACTTCAAATGTTCCATTGAAATTATGGATTACTCCGATCGGGGAATGAAAGTCAACTTCTTCGAAAAAACCGAACAAAACATGCCGCCCCCACCTGGTGCTGGCGATGTAGTTCTTATGCGCGGTGTCAAAGCAAGTACTCGCCCACCCGGTTCCCGCATTTTGACTTACACCTTCAGCCCCAATTGTATCACGGAGTTATGGGACTTCTGAAAAACAGTTCTTCTGAATTCCGTTTCTTGGCCTCAGAGAACATACCCCAGAAAGTATTGGGCGAATCAAACTCTCCTTGGCGGTCGTATCCCGTAGGCAAGGGCCGCTCTCCGACCGCTGCTGAGATGAAATACGTGTTATGGGCGAGCAATCATGCGGACGTGATTGACCTGCCTTCTAATCAACAATTTGGAGTAAAAGTGGTCCAAGCCATGAAGCAAAATACGGATAAATTCAGTCTCTTGAAGGATATCAAGCCCGATCGATACTACAACATTCTAGGGCAAGTTGTCAGGCTTTACGATTCTTCCGGCACGCTGCAAGTCTATCTCTCTGATTACACCCCCAACAGTCGTTTTCATAACTATGCATGGGGCGAAGCGGGCAAAAACGATGTCGGCCGCGAGGGCGATGATTTTGGTTATATAAGTACGAGGAATAAAGAAGCGAAAGAGTGGCCTGGACCGTACGGAAAGATGACCATTCAATTGACTCTCTGGGATTCGCACGCTTCCTTTGCTCGCGAGGAAGTGAAGGTCGATGACTGGGTTCTTCTGAAAAATGTTCACGTGAAGTTTGGCAAGATCGGAGGGGTTCTAGAAGGCTTTATGCATGGAGACAACGGCAAGACGAACGTGAGCATAATGAATTTGACCGAAGGAACAGTCGAAGATCATGGCAGGTTGAAGGAAGCTACGAATCGCAAACTCCAGTGGTGGAAGAGGTTTACAGAACAGAAGCCGAAATATCTTGAAGAAGCAGCTGGTCTGGGAAACAAACGAAAGGATGATGGAGAGGGATCATCGAAATCCAACAGCAAGAAACGTCGCGAAGAGGAACGTGCTGCAAGGCTGAAAAGGGGGGCAGCTGCGGAGGCGAAGAAGATGGGACGGTTGAATCTCAATGAGAATAGTACGTATGCCGTCTTCCTAACAACACGGATTCTAATGACTGGGCAGTCCGGTGCAATAACCCAGACCAGCCAATTGTGGCCTTGTCGGAGATTTTGAAACCTCTAGCTCTCACCAGGAACGAAGAGGGTCAACAAACTCCGTCATCATTCACTTGTGCGAAATACCGGGCAAATGTGAGAGTTGTGGACTTCTTTCCCCATAAGGTCGAAGACTTCGCTGTTGGGCGCCGACCAAGCGAGTATGACATTTTGTCAGATTATAGTGGAGGCGAAGACACGGATCGAGAGGAAGATATACGGGTCTTCAAGAGCGGGAGAGGTTTCGCGAAAAATATATGGGAATGGAGATTTGTGTTGCAGGTCGAAGACGCTAGCTCGAAAGAGTCCAAGGAGCGACTGTGGTTGATGGTCGACAATCACGCTGCACAAGGTTTGTTGAACCTCGAAGACGATGCAACGAAGTAAGTTGGTCTAACATTTGCTTCTTGCTCTTCTAATATTGTACAGCTTGCGACGAGACCCCAGGCTCTTGAGCCTGGTCAGAGAGCAGCTCTTCAAACTTTGGGGAGATCTCGAAGAGCTAAATTCCGAGCGACTGAGGCAGCAGTCCGAGAGGGGGAAAGAACTGCCTCCATCGTCTCTCGGGTCAGAATTTCCACCCTCGTCGCCCCCTCGAAAAGCAGGCGAGATGCCTGACGCAGATAGCGATGTTGAAAACGAGCCGTCGCAGCCCAAATCGGCGAAGAAGAGCTCGAACTCAGCCGTCTTGACAGAGCAGGATCTGAATATTTCCAAGTCAGGCATTGTTGCAGGCAGCGCTGATAAGTCGACTCCCAGTCTTGAGGTTAAAAACAAGGCTTTCACCTGCTGTATCCACCAATACGGAGTCAAAGTCGATGAAGATGATCCTTCCAAAGCCAATGCTGGTGATGGAAAGAGATGGCAGAGAGTATTTGGTTTGTTCGGAACTCACATTGTGTGAACGGAAGACCTCCAGAATTGCTTGAGGTTAAAAATATTTCTTGTTCAAGATACCTCAGATAATGTTTGTTGTATAGGATCATCACAGGAAGCGGAATATTAATGGACTTCATGAGTTAGCACGTATTGAAAGTGACGTTACGGGACGTCAGCTTACCAATCTCTCCATTTCTGCAGGTCAGCTGATTTGTCATATCGGCATTACCTGACAAATCACGATACCATGTATATATATGCCCCCAAGTCCTTGATTTGGAGGGCCAGCTGCTATTGTCAACAAATGTCCATTCCAACAGCACAATTCTCGTTGCACATCGCAGATGCTCGGAAAAGTCGGCATTGGACATTGAGATCGCCAAATAAATCTCGAGTATCATTTTAATTCCCTTTATCTGATATGTTTTCTGCCGGTCAAGCACTCAGCATCTCATTTACAGTCTCCTCAACACTCTTAGCCTCCATCCCTCGACTGCCCAACAACTCATCCAATGTCGGATCCTCAATCAAGCACTCCCCCTCTCCAACGCCTCATACGTACTACTCCACCACTCGACCGCCGACCTGTCCCTCCCCTTGCCAACATAATACTCCACATATTCCTCTCTTCGCACCTTCTTCACCGTCACCTCCCGTTCCCTCGCTTCCCCAACATACGCCGCAATCTCTGCCAAAGTCTTCCAATTCCTCGCACTCGCAAGATAAAACGTCTTCCCCACCCATCGCCCACTTGGGATTTTAGTTGATCCCTACTATCACTTAAGCTGATCACTATTATCAGACTCTGCATATGCTCGCTTAATTGGCTAATTACTACTATTGCTTAAGCTATCCTCGCTTATTTAAGCGGTCCCTATTATAGTTTAGCATATGCTCTCCTTATGCTTTGCACATATACGGGCTATACGGGCTAGAAAGGTTCAGGTTAGTCCCGAGCTTGCGAGGGGGCTTAGGGTCAGGGGTCAGGGGGCAGTGAGAGCCCCCCGCATTAGAATATATTAAAGCATAAAGGCCTGAAGGGTTATGGTTAGTATATACTAAGTATATGGGTTCCATATACTAAATATATACTAGAGATAATAGCAATAGTAAAGCAAAGTATATTCTAACTTACTTATGTGCTTTTTAGTAATAAAGGTAAAGCATATACTAAAGTAATAGTAGTAGTAAAGCAAGACATATTCTAACTTCCTTATATACTTCTTAGTAATAAAGATTAAGTATATACTAAGTATATGAGTTCCATATACTAAGCATATACTAGAGGCAATAGCAATAGTAAAGTAAAGTAGATTCTAACTTCCATATATACTTCTTAGTAGTAAAGGTTAAGCATATGCTAGAAGTATGCCTGGCGGGCCGTTAGGAGGAGGTCAGGGTTGGAGGGAGGTGTGTACGAAACCCCTAGCAAAAAACCACTTAGCCAAAGTGATCAGGATCGCTTTGTGCTGCGTACGCATAACTGGGTCTTCTGTCGCATTTAGTCAGGTGATGGCTGTGACGGCTGGTGTCACATGGTTGGTTTCAGCCAAAGGGATTGGTTTCAGCTAAGGTTCCAAGCTATGGTTCAAACCAAGCTCGCTTCCAAAGCTCGGCGTTTCAGTGGTCTTGGCCATACCTACTTATCCACTGCCACACCTCATTCCTTTTCCCCTTAGCCTTAAATCCTTAAGACATTGGAATCATTGATCTTTGAGCCTCGTTCCGCTGCTCCGTTCCTGCCGTCACAATGGCTGAATAAGCATCTGACACCTTTAAAAACATGGCCTATAAGGCGAATCTTAGAACAAAACACTTACATCTTCAATTTCACAATTTATCTCTCTCCACACGGGAGAATACATACTTTCTTTCTCGGTTATAAATACCACTGTGCCATTTTCCTAGCGAAGCTATCTTTATGAGCACCACTTTACGTCTTCCGAAGACCTCCGTGGAATGCGACATCTTCGCTTCTCGCCCTTACAGTCTCCCACATCGCCTCTAAGGTGGCCCACGTGCTACCTCAGCCATCTTTCATACGAAAACTATTGCTGCTTATTGGCTAGACATAGACCATGTACGTAATTTCAACCCAACCTATGACTGGTAGTATGCATACGCTCACCGTCAAGGATTACGATATAGTGTAATAAGGCTGAACACACCTAGGAGTTTAAGTAATGCTTCAAGCCGAATGAACAACCACGAATGAATGGCAGCACGATATTGCGCTTGAAACCCCTTTTCGGGCCCTTCTTCACCTACCATACTGACGAACCATCGCTTCAATTGGTACACAAAGAGAAATACTGGATAGAATTGTAGGTGAGTAATGCGAAAATAGAGGCTAGGTAGATGATTAAACTGAACTTACCCAAGCAGATACGAGTGGATAGGAGAGATGGCGGATCGAGATACTCCGAGTCAAAGCTTCCAAGAAGCCGTTGAGCAGAACTCGCCTGACAATTCAGAGCCTATGGAAAGAGCTCGGTGTCTCGGAGATAACTATCTAGATAAATACTTTCAAACACAGGATACGACCGACCTAGATGCTGCGATTCAGCATTACCAAGAATACCTTCTGATGAAACAACTTGACGAAGACCGTGAGGGACTACTTACGGCTCTCGGAAACGAGTTCAATACGAGATATGTCGTAACAAGACAACAATCATATAGCGATACAGCTATCAGATTATTCCAAGAACTAGTTGACCGGACGCCTCTTGGTCATCGTCATCATTCGTTTCGGCTCCACTATCTCGCTACTGCATATCGTGATAGGTTTACAATAACAGGAGATGAAGCAGCTATAGACGCGGCAATCAAGTGGTACAAACAGAGCGCCGACCATGGAAAATTGGAAGAGAGATATGCACTACGGATAGGCAACCTTGCAGCTGGATATCGGGATAAATCCCACCGGAATTCTGACCGAACAACGGCGATAGCAGACAGGGAGGCAGCGATTCAACTCTTCCAAAAGGGCCTTGACCACATTTCATCGACAGTCCGACAGCGATATGCGTGCGCGAAAGATTTGTTCCCTCTTTATGCTGATTATGGTTCATGGCACAAAGCCTATGCTGTTGCGAAGACTGCGATCCACCACATACCATTAATGGCCACGAGAGACGACTTCAACGACGTGATACAGATTCAATGTATTGAGTTTGCTGGATTGGCTTCACTTTCTGCAGCAATGATCCTATATACAATAAATGACCTGCTTGATGCTATCCAACTCCTTGAACTTGGTAGGGGCGTCCTTGCCAAATATCTGAGCGAACGGCATGCCGATGTTTCAACCAGTCTAAAGGACTATCCCGACGTTCAAAGAGACTATATTGATCTCAGAAATCGGCTGTACGGATTAGAAACATCGGAGCCAGATGGGAGAACGTGGAACAGATACGGACGATCTCTTGCGCGCGCAAAAGCGTTGAGAGATATGGAGCAGCTGACATCCAAAATCCGAGACCTACGAGGCTTGAAGAACTTCATGGTTCCTCCAGGAAAAGAGGAATTCCAAAATGCTGCGAAACATGGGCCCATTTGCATTATCAATGTCACCAAATATCGCTGTGACGCAATAATTATCAAAGCTGATGGCCTGCGGCATCGGGCATTGCTGAAGCTCAGAAGTGATAGAGTGAAGGCCAAAGCACAAAACGGTGACTTTAGTAGCGTTAAGACCTTAGAGTGGATGCGGGATGTCATCGCGCATCCAGTGTTTGAGGAGTTGGGCATCACCGAACCTTCAGCTGATGGCAAGTGGCCCCATATTTGGTGGATTCCTACTGGCCTCCTGGCCAAGTTCCCGCTACATGCGGCCGGGTATCATAAGTCAACGTCCTCCAGAACGGTGCTTGATCGAGCCATGTCCTCATATAGTTTGTCTGTGAGGGCAATAATTGATGGCCGTGCAACTCGAGATCCAGCAGCTGCGCAACTAGCACCACCTAAAGCGCTTCTCATGGTAATTCCCGACACTCCAGGAAAAGATCCGCTTCGTTTTGCAACCAGGGAGGTAGCGGCCGTACGCAGCCTGTGTAAATCAATGAAATGGGACCCCATCAACCAGGTCAACGGAAAGCCGATATCATTGAATATCTACCGCAATGTCAGATCTTTCACTTTGCCGGTCATGGCCACACCGATACCAGTAACCCATTGTGGAGTTATCTTCTGATGGAGGGTGGGGAACGGGACGTGCTGACGGTCGAAACACTTTTAGACATGAATATCCAACAGCACGCACCCTTTCTCGCCTATCTCTCTGCGTGTGGAACCGGGGAGATCAACGATGAAACATTTCTCGACGAGAGTGTCCATCTCATCAACGCTTTTCAGGTATCAGGATTTCGCCACGTCACCGGCACCCTATGGAAGGTGAACGACAAGATCTGTGCGGACGTCGCAAGCATCACGTACGGAGGCATTAGGGATGGACTCATGACGGATGAATCTGTATGTTTGGGTCTTCATCAAGCTAGCCGGAAACTTCGGGATGATTGGATAGCCAGAACAAGTCCCAGGCGTGATGTGAATCATGAGCTGGCTGCTAGACATGATGCAAATGGCAGCGATAAGAGGGATGATGATCAATCTAGACACATTGGCTCAGGTGGTTACAATGAGAGTGGGTTGTTAAATTGGGTTCCTTATGTTCATTTTGGTGTTTAGTCTCCTTTGGTGTTTGGTTTACATCTGTTTGAAGAGTTGGCGAGCTAGTATGTTCTTAATGTATTAAGGATCCATTCCTGTGTTATGTGTTGACCAAGATCGGGCTGGAGGGGAACGACTTGAGGTTATTGTCACTCGGAAAATACCCATTCCCTTACTTCTCCACTACACCATATGGAACAAGGCTCTAAGACAATATCATAAGAAAGTAAAGTCTCTCCCGCAGGATTTTTCACCGAAACTGGCTAATCTCATCGTGATCAATTAAGGTAAAAAAAAACTATTCAAATACAACAGTGATCCGAGATGAAGAATCTGTATAATAAGAATTGTCGAACTTATCCCTTTCCCAGGTGTTTTTCACTTTTTGCAATTTGTCTGTACGACCTCTTGTGCGCTCCGCCAATCACCGAGTGTTACTTGTGCTCCATGATTGCTCCTTCCCATGTGTTGTGACGTCAGCGTCACATGACCTGGCCCTAGCGTGGCACCCTGTACTTAGCTCGAGCTCCCCGCTCTCTTCTCTCTTTAGACGTTACATACACACCCAAAAAGAGCTGTTTACCAGACCAGGTCTTCAGCCCAGGGACGTGATACCATGTGTCTCATCCCAGAATCTGGCATGATCAATTCCAGCATTCTCTGCAGCTGGTCGTCTTCAGCTTTTCGACTTCCACTGTCAATGTCATCATCAAGGTCATCTTGTGCGAGGATATCGAAGTCCGTTGGTGACGTTGTAACGATAACTTTTACTATGTCATAGATGCTGTCTTCTCCACTGAGAGATTTAGGAATCCTCGCTGGGAGGGTCTCGAATAATTCTTGCAGTGGCTCAACGAGTGATGATTCTAGCTGACCTTTGCGCAGTTGAATGACACCATATTTTGGAGTAAGGTTGAAGACATACGCATATAGAGAGTTCGTGTTTTTTGGAACCCTGGGGAAGCGCGGTGGTTTCGGATAACAATTTTTTATGCGTATGGTTACCACGTCTCCACGTTGCACGGTATGAGTACCAGTGGCTGGATCCTTGTTTTGGTTTATAAGACCGAACTCAAATTTTCTGTAGGGTAGACGAGACGTTGGGTTCTTCAGGAGCTTCATGGCGGTGAATTGCATGATATGCTGCAGCACATCCTTCACTTTCTGAGCTTCTTCGTCTCCTCCAACCGGGAGTGAGGGGTTATGAGGAAGTCGCTTCCCATATGCATCTTTGAGAATGTATTCTTCGCCATTCGGTGTGCTTTCGATGTCAATCTCGAAACCAAGATTTCGATCCTGTTGAGTGTTCTGGGTGCCTTGGGTATCACCCAAAAACTTAGGGAGGACTATATTCGCCGAGGATCTCCAGTTCTTCCGCAGGGCGTCGATAGCCTTCCTGGCTGACTCTGAGTTGTTGATAAGCGCAGAGCGAACATACAGTCCGTAATCCGAGCCACAACTCCGTAGGACAATCGGACACCCCACCAGTGTGTCAAAGGATTATTCAAGTTATTCAAGTTATTCATGAATATCTTAAATAACTTGAGTAAAATAGAATAATTATTCATGAATAACATGAATAACCATGAATAACCACGTGGAAGTCACGTGGAAGTCAATTAATTATAGTAAATTAATATATATTTAAATTTAAAAAAAAGAACTAAGGTATTTATTAAGCAGCCTTATATAAGCTAAGCTAATACTAATATAAGTCTACTTAAATGCTGATTTTCTATAATAAATAAACTAATTATCGCTAAGGTTCGATTCGCTTACCAAGCGCCACTATTACCTGATTGGGTAGCGGGGTGACGCTAGGTGCGGGCCCCTCCGAAGCCTTACCCGATTAGGCTAGCTCAATTACGTACATAGATCACGTGCGTTATTCAAGTTATTCATGAATAACTTGAATAATATATGAATAAAATAAGAGTAACGGCCGTTATTCTATTCTACTCTATTCATTTGACACACTGCACCCCACGATATTGACGTTGATCTTGCCTAAGATATCTGCATTCGAATGCAATCTTTGTACGTCAGTAACTTTCAGCTTCCCAATGACTTTGGTATCGGTAACTGTCGATGAACCGAGGTCATATATTTCGTACTCATCGTGCCTAGCAACGCCGTGTGCTGCCTCGACATCAAGGAACACGGATCCATTCTTGGAATGCTTGGTAATGGTACCATCGTAGTCCAACGATGAACACTTGTTTTGGAAAAGGAATTGATTACCATTTCCATACAGCATCGGGTTCTGCCATTTATATCCCTTTTGCCTAAAAGCCCCGCGGATGATGTGTAAGAGTAAGCGGTAAGTGATTGAGCGGCCAGTCTTCTCGATGATCCTTAGTTGTTCGAGAAGGTTGCGCGTCAGCCTTCTGTTTGCTCCAACTTTCCCAGTCTCACGGGCATACTCGTTAGGCTGAGCAGCTGCTAGTAAGATATAAGCCTCGGACTGGAACTGCCATGAGGTCTTGGTTGACACGTCCACTCCAGCTTTGTCATGGTCGTCGTCAGCAGAAGTGTCGCTCATGCCTTGATCTTCTTCAGACTCGTCTCCTGCCAAAAAACGGATCGCACCTCGCTCTTCGTTGACATCCTCTTTATCATCTTCTTCGTCTCCCTCATCGTCGTCATCGTCGTCCTCGTCGTCCTCGTCGTCCTCGTCGTCTTCGTCGTCCTCGTCCTCGAAATCGTCCCCACGGGTGGCACCTCCAGAGTGACAGTAGTCTAATACAGCGAACACGTGTTGCACTTCTGTACCCAATTCGTCCAAGAACTTTCCAAACTCAACGTCGCGTAGGAATTTTCCGTTTGGATGATCCATCGGAACTAGCATCTCGTCAAATCCAGGCCTCTTATGGTCATATATCGTCCGAGTTCGATGTCCATGTCCAGAGTAATGTATAAAGACAGTGTCGGACTGGGTAGCTTTGCCTTTGATCCAATCAAATGCATCGTCGATATTTTGTCTTGTTGGCTTGCCGTAATTCAATCCTGGAGGAATCGTCACAGCAGTGTTGGGGTTTTGCGAAATCAATGTGTTGATCTGATCTGAGGGAACCTTCAAATCTTTGGTCAACCACTCCCAAACATCGATCGCGTCATTGACGCAGCCTGACAACTGGAGAACATTTTGGTTGTCATAACCGCCAATGCCAATTACGACCGCATATATTTTCTTCGAATCTATGCCAGAAAACACTATGTCTTATGGTGTCGAGAAGACTGACGGTCGCCGAAAAATGATTCAAGGCTGAAGGGTGGCTGGCATCACTGTTAGTTGGCGGCGCTGCTGGCTGCTTTTTATGTCCACATTCACATCTAGCCTTGGGAGGGCGGCAGATGAATTCCTCAGTCAATTGTTTTCGTTACTTGGGGATTTTCTTTTCTTTTTGCTCCTGCTGCAGTAGTGTTAAGCTTCAGTGAATAGAAAAACAAAGTTTACGCTGTTGCCTAACCGAAACTGCGGCGCCGTTTGCTGCATTAGAAACCCCTCACCGGTGAGATGTGAGTCATCAGTTGTCTGCGTCTGGTGTAATTGGGCGGGATGAACTCGCACTCACAAAGCGTATTCGCACCTGCAAGCTAGTCACACCCTCTTCTTATATTATACCAGAGGTTTTGTCCGGATCAGGATGAACATGCAGCAAGCATGACATCGAAATGGGCGATCTTGTAAAGTTTGGTTCATTGCACCCCACTGGGCTGCATTTCAGCCGCAGTGCATGTGATGTAGTCCTCGTCGAATAAACGGGGGTGCGCCAGACTCGCTCAATGCTCGGCTGGCTCCGCTACAACGGCGCTTGCAACCTTTATCCAGTTCGATCATCACCAAATACACTTAGTCCACTGGAGCCCTGATTATGGTCCCCTTTCTGGAGTCCAACTTGGGACCCCTGTGTGAAAAACCAATTCTGAGTTCTAATCTGTTGCCTGAATGCAAATATCTGAGGGGCCTGGAATCAGGCCAAGTTGCCAACTGAGCGGATTCCCAGCGAATTTTCTGAACCTGGCGATTTTTCGCATCCATCCGACGATATTCCTCACCCAGCGAAACTTCCCACTCAGCGAATTTTCTCACCTACAATTTTTCGCATCCAGCATTGTTCCGCACCCAGCGGTCCTCCACACCTAGCGAAATTTCAATGGATCGCCACGTACCAGCGACATAAAAGCACCTAACGTCTGTCCCAGCATCCCGAGACGCACCCTGTCACGAGACGAATCTATAGTTTTGGGATTATAATTTTTTTCTTGGCAAGTCTCTAAAGTCATTATTAATATGTCACTTTCTTTAACTATTTCTCCGTAAGGAGACTACTTAGTAATAAAGAAAAGACTATAGTTAATTATGCCGTCGATTGTTTTAATTACGCTACTAATCGCCGCTTTGGCTGTTTCCCCTTACTTAATCGCGACTATTAAAGTCTTTTCAAATTTCGGAGTACTTAGGGAAAGGTTCTATAAAGAAAGAATATGGCCTTAAATTTTGAAGATACTTAGTAAGGAAAATAGTATACTCCGGGAGTTACGCTGTGCGAGGAGGGGTATAAACGCCACATATTTTAGCTTTAGGATTTAGTGCTTAGTAATGCGCATTAGCCTGGTTATGATATACCGTATTCAAGCAAGGGCTCGCTATATTTTATTTAGCCACGATTGGCGAATGGATGAAGCGCCGTTTCTCGTCTCTCGTCTACATTACTATTGCGAAGGCAGGATACTATGGGCAGAGCGAGTCAAGTTCTAGCGCAAGGCGTACCTCCTAGCGTGCACCTTCCTTGGCAGAATCACGAGATACTCTCTAAGCTCACGACGGTGAGGCTGGGCTCGATTCTGGACCAGAAGTTAAGGGGACGTCTGATCTACTATATTGCTACATTAATAGGTGTAATTTAATGGCAGATTCAAAGAAGTCCTTATGGCTTATCCAATATTAGACACCTTCCCAGCTTGTGGAGTTTCTGCTTTAAAGACTTCAGCTGTGACGAACCCCGTCTGCTAGCCCCCTAGTAGTCACCCCTACCTGTAGCTGGCATAGGTATAGCGGATGAATAGAAGAGTGAGAGGTGGTTCTACGGAGGATCTAAAGCTAAGCAGGAAAGGAGAAGAGGAACGAATGTTCCTCTACTGGCTAGGTTATAGCTACGGGCCTAATACAGGCTAGGCAACATTTAGCATGCGAGCGATACAGCATCTTGTGTCATGGCTTCCTAACTTACCTATATTCTTTCCTTCCACCAGATAACCCCAATATTCGCCTGCTCCGACTGTCGTCAAATAAAGACAAGTCTGCGCCCTTACATTGCAAGCTTCACAACTACTCTCTCTATAGAAACTAGGCCCACGAACTCATTTAATATGAGGCTTTATCCTGTATATGGGGCAACGCTCGCGAGACTCTGCCTATATATATAGACAACAATCAATTTTCTGTCATGGTAAATCTCCACGCTGCGTTGTCACATCTCCGAAATTATTCTTTATCAACAGCAGGTAGAGGCATGGAGTATCCAGTATGAACAATGAATAGAGTAGAGTAGAGTAGTGGCCCCTACTCATATTCTATTCATCAAAAATTCCCACTACTTATATTCTATTCATATTCTAATCAAGCTATTCATGAATATTTATGAATACTTTGAGTAGTATGCACGTAACATATACACGTAACAGGCTAGCCTTATTAGGTAAAGCCCCGGGTACTCCCGCTCTAGTGCCACCTCGCCACCCAATCAAGTAGTGGCGGCGCTTGGTAAGCGAGCCGAACCTCTATAATACTTCTAGAATTACCTCGACTTAAGAACTTAATAATAATAGCAATTCTATTAGTAAAAACCAGGAATTAGGGGACTAGGATCTCCAAAATAAGGGGATTCTTTCTAATTAAAAGAATAATTAAAAAAGCCCTTAGAATATTAGAACTTTCTATAAGAATATATTAATTTCCTCGATTTTTATTTCTTTCCTATACTTTAATTCCATATAAAACCTTAACTATTACTCCTATTAATATACTTTCTACTACAAATATACTTATTTATACTCGATATATTCGAAAATGTCTCAATAATCCTTAATTAAGCTTAACTTAGCTCAAAATTACCCTGAGTTTGAGTTAAAATCCCTTAATAAGCAAGCTTCTTTCTTTAAGAAAGGCTATTTAAAAAAGATATTAAATCCAATTCAAGAGGATCCCCAAGAAACTCGTATATATACTATAAAATGCTTAGTTCGAGGTTATTCGTAAGTTAATATATTAATTTTTAATAATTTTTTACTAATTAATATAATAAAAAAACATAGATAAATTAATAAATATATACTTTTATAAGTAATTATTATACTCATTTTCGAAACGCATATGAGTTTATTAATATTACTAGTCTTAAAAATAGTAATAATAATAGTAAGTTATTTAATATTAATTAAAAAGCTTTATTTACTAATATATTTAATAGGCGAAAATAAAGGCTCTTCTCAAGTCTCTTAATCTACTATAAATAATCTTTTCAATAAGTAATCGGGTTAAAGAGAAGAAAGCTTTACTATTAATTACTTTAAGAAACTATTATTAAGTTTTATAATTAATAATAATATTTCTTTTCGAATAGTAAATATACTAAATTTTAAATTATTTTTAAAGTATTTAAATTAGTAAATATTATTATATTCTTTATTATTATTATATATACTAATACTTAATAGTTAAATATTACTTTTATATTTAAAAACACTTATAGATAAGCTTAATTTAAGCTATATTAAAAAGAGTTTAAATATTAAAGATAAATTTTTAGAAAATATTAAATCTCAAGGAATCTTTTCTATTACTTTAGGTAGTATTACCTTTATAAATCAAAAGGCCTTCCTTGAAATTACTATATAAGTTTATATATTTCTATAATTATTAAGTGAAATTTATACTAATATATATTTTAGATACTTTATAAATAAGGATTTTATATTAAAAATCTTATTTATTAGCTATAAAAGACTTAAATAATATATACTCTAGCGTTTATATACTTTCTGTTTTATTAGAAGCTTTAAAATAATATAATATCGAATATAATATTACTAGATAAATAATTCTAATTTATATTAATATATCTTTTTTAATATTACTCGAGATAATACTAGCTTAAATAATACCTTATTAAAGGCTTTTATAAAGCATTATAATAAGAGAGGCATTAAATTTCAAGGAGATATTTCTTATATAGCTTATATATTAAACTTAATAGTTCAAGATATTTTAAAAGCTCTTATTAAGAATAATTATAATATCTCTTATTCTACGGATTTATACGAGCAAGAAATAGAAGAACTTAAAGATAGAGAAGAAGAAAGAGAAATAGAATAAGTAATAAATAAATTCCCTTTATAATTTATAAAAGTTTTATTAATAAATTATAGATTTATTAATTTGGAAAAAGGTTTAAAAAACTATTATAGGTTTTAAATATAATCAAGAAAACCGATGGCTATTAAAAGCTCAAATTAAAGCTTTTAATATAGAAAATATTCGATTTCCTTAACTTGGTAAGTTAATAGTTCTCGTTACGTGCTCTGTACCTAATTGGGACTAGTGCGGCTCGCTAAGCTATATGCGTATACTTTATACTTAAGCTCGGTTCTCTCTTTAAGAAACCTCTTCTTCTTTCCTTACCTTAGAATTCTCAATAAATAATTTCTCTTGCAAGTATTCTATTTATAAGCTCCCTTTATAGGTTCGTAATAGTAAGTAATTAATTATTAATTAATACTAATTATTTATAGATTAAAAAACACAGTGATTTTTAACTTATTATATATTAAAGAACTTTTTTTTATATATATAAAGCTATTAAAGTAATTATTAATAGCTCTAATTTAAAGGCTTTTAAAAATAAAAGTCTAGTTTTAACTAATATTAAAATTACTTATTTAAATAATATTTTAAATATTTATTAAAGCTATAATTAAATTACAAGCCGAAAATTATTCGACTATATATTATATTATATTTGAGATATATAAAATATATAATAAACTTGAAAATTTTAAAAAGAAATTTAAAATAAATCTTTTCTTAAATTCTTTTTATATTATTATACTAATTTTTAATAAGATAAAGTATTTACAGATATTATTAATAAAAATATAGCTAAACTTCGAAAATATTATCCTAAAACAGGTATTTTAAATAATAAAAATAAAGTTTTATATTTAGTTCTTATTCTTAATTCTCGAATTAAATAAAAAGAATTAATTAATATTAGTTTATCTAATAATATATCTTTAGATATATATAATAAATTAGAGACTAATTATAATATATAAGTAATTCCTTTAATTATTTTTTTAATAAATTAATAACTAATTTTATATTTAGATATAAATATAATTATTATAAGCTAGGCCTTTATATAAAGAAAACTAATAATTTAATTAATTAAATAGAATTCTCTAAAAAGAAAAGAAAAAGAAAAACGGGAAGAAATAAAACTATATTTTCTATAATATTCGAATTC